GCCTTATATATTCATTTATGTTGTCTCTGACGTCGAACTACTTCTCTCTTTCTTTCTCCCACATGATCTATTTACTGTACGACCAATACATGATCCTACGCCCWCTTGCCGACTGCATCCATCGCAAGAGCTCCATATAACCCGACGAAGTTGCTCTCTCCACCTTCACAAACACCACATCAGCCTCCATTTTGAAAGTCCCTATCTCTCTTCAAACTTTTACAGCRAATGCTCGTCTCCCTCTGCTTTGACACGCCTGAGGGGACAAATTTCTTTCGTCTTCGACACTGGTTCCCTTGTATCTCTGCTCTGACTACAATTTTCCAATTTGGATTTGATCAATTTAATAAAGAATGATTTTAAACGAYGGTCAGTCCTAATACCTACCTACATTGACTACACCAACATTCAGACCTCAAGAGAAGAATCAATAAAGAGCTAAATCTATAACTTAAATGTATATACATAGGAAAAAAGAATATTGCCTTGACATTTAGATCGTGAACATAGCTTCTTCCGGCCATTTGATATTTTGTAAACCAATATGAAATTTTTTTTTTCCATGACAGATCCACAATCTTTAAGCAATATAAATCAAACTACACTTGTGTAGGAAAAAAATCTAAAAACTCCTGAAACAAACTATTCAAAAAGTTGAGATTGCTTTTTATGGTGCTTCTTCTGAACTTCTTGACGCTTTGAATTCGCACCTGAAATCAGAAAAACCTAACTCATATTAACATTATACACTATGATTTAAAAGTGACAAAAGAAAGGAACTATTGGCGATGCTTGGAGGAGAAGATCCCATGCAAACTCTGAAGATTATGATGAGGAGGTTTACGATTGGACAAAACCCCTTATAGAGGWGATAAACAATCCCAATCAAAGAAAGCTAAAAAATTAAACCGCAAAATATTACAGTAATTTAAAAAAGATTATTTCACAAAAAGAYGATTTTACAAATCATTTTCCGAGTTTTGGAGTGTTGAAGACTTTGCATAGTACATGTAAACCTCACCCTGGACAAGAAAGTCGGGTTAACCGTGCCATACTTGTTTTGGATGGCAAAACATTCACATAAAAGAATCTCAACGCAGCCCCTAATAAATTCAGAGCAATCAGTTTTCTACGAAAAAAAAGAACCAAAATTTCCAGCACCACACACTTAACCACAAGACCACTGAAGTTCACTGATGAATGCGAACCGGAATACTGAGTTGGGGATCACCAGTTACACAATGTCTGTAATTTTTATGTTCACGTGTAATGTACCTGCACAATTTTTCGGTCAAAGAATAGTGAGTTACTATAATAAACTTACAAATTTAGGTAGACTGTCAGAAAATTTATAGAAGTTCATATTTTACCCTCGAGCTAAACTCAGTTAGTTTCACTACCAGTAAATGGGTGTTGTCCAACAACAATAGAGTCTTCTTTCTTCACTGCCTGAAGAGATTAAAGAAGAACACCCAAAACGCACTTATATTTATTTAATTTATAGGCCCATTTACTTAGACCCATTTAACCAAAACGTTCAAAACATGTATAACCGAAAGATATAAACAAACTGAATTAACCGAATTAAACCGAATTTTTCTAATTTAACCGATTTTACACTCAGAAATTTCGAAATTGTCTAACAATTCGGTAGAAATTTTACTACCTGAAA